ATATATATATATATATATATATATATATATATATATATATATATATATATATATATATATATATATATATATATATATATTTTCTGAGGTTTTCGCAGGTGTTTGTATGTAGGTCTTTGGATATTCGGGTTTTCTCCCGCATAAAATTGGAAGTGTCTTGGCGACATTTCGACGAAGTCCCATTCGTCATCTTCAGGCTGGTGTTTTCAGCTTCGTGCTTCTACTCCCAGAAGCACGAAGCTGAAGACACCAGACTGAAGATGACGAATGTGACTTCGTCGAAACGTCGCCAAGACACTTCCAATTTTACGCGGGAGAAAACCCGAATATCCAAAGACCTACGTGACCAAGGCATTGGAGTTACTAGAGGATAAAACAGCCTACAGGGTTATTAAAGGGGACCCCAGGGTGGCAATGAGCAACAAAGTGAACAAGACTCTGGAAGGTTTCAAACGAGCAAAGAAAATGGATGAGGACACCGTTAAGTGGGTATGTCCGACTGATGCAGCACTGCCTAGGTTCTATGGACTCCCTAAAGTCCATAAGGAGGGAGTTCCACTCCGCCCCATTGTTTCCTTTCGAGGCACTCCTATGTCAAAACTAGTGAAGTGGCTCAGTGGTCGCCTCTCCTATTTGGTTGAGGGCAGTCCCACCACAGTTAGGTCAGCAGGAGAATTCCTTGAAAGGATAAGAGCCTTGAGGGTAGAAGAGGATGAGGTCATGGTATCTTCCCGGGCGGCCGGGAAGAACTTTGGCGGCCTGGCGGTGGAGGCCTGGCTTCGGCCCCGCTATTTGGCTCCTTGGCCCTGGCGCTAGCCTGCTCCGGTTGGTCGGGCGGCCTGGCGTTGGTTGGGCGGCCTGACGTTCGGCCCGTTTTTGGCCCGATCCTACTTTCCAGTTACCCGGCTTCCCAGCCCGGGCGTTGGCCTTGTTCCAGTCGAGCGGCCTGGCGGCGGAGGCTTCAGTTCCGGCCCTGCTCTCCCCCGGCCCTGTCTTTTCAGCGGAGGGCCTGGTATGGCCCGGAGGACCCCGACGTCGGCCTTCTCTTCAGCCGTTGGAGGCCCTGGTGAGGATTGGAGGGCACAGAAGAACGTGGCCCCAGCTTTGTCTCTGGCCGGTGGAGGACCCAGTATGGCCTGGAGGATCTTGGCTTCGGCCCCGTTCCGGCCGATGGAGGACCTGGTGTGGCCGGGACTGATCACCCAACGGTCCGATGGAATGGCCGGAGGAGGACACGGTCTGGCAGTACGATTTAATTTGCCTCCGGCAAATCACCGGCTGACGAGGGGTGTGACTTTAG